CCGTCCTCTCTCTCTCTCTCTCTATCTATATATATATATATATATTGCTTGCTTAGTGAAGAATATTCTAAAGCACAAGTTCATAGCAACTTGGTAGTTATATAGAAAAATATGAGCGCCAAAGTCCCAACCATTACCTTTTAGCAGGACGTGATTTAAGTTGTGATTCCTTTTCAAGCCCAATTTTGTCATTCAAACCGAGCTTTAAGTCAGGCATGCCAGAAAGGAAGCACTTCATGAGAATCTTCCCAGTCACATCGCAACGAAGAACACTACCTGCAACAAAATGAAATGTTCAATGATTCCATTCAAGGCAAAGGAAGGCATACCAAGCAGGAACACTTTAAGAGCATCCTGAGTCTGCATTAGTTACCTTTGGATGACATCAGAAGATTCACACTTTCCACAATGTCAAGAAAAACCTGCCAAAGAGGACACTTGTAAATGCATCTTCAATGCACACAAACCCTGGCAACCTGAACTGAATATAATGTTAAACAAAACTCACCTCGTTCTTCTTATATACAAGGCCCTCACGACGCCAACCTACGGCACCAGTAACTTGTAGAGTCGCATTTGGCACCGGCTTGTCAGCTGGCTATTTAAGTTTCACAAAACAAAAACTGATAAGAACTCAACAACAAAACAATATTCTCAACTCTTATTGACACAAGTAGAGTAGCATGATAAGCTATTCCAGAAGAAAAGACTACTCCAAAAGACAACAGGTACATTTGTGTTACTCAATAATATATAATAAAACATCTACTCTTTGAAGCATTAACCTTGGACGAAAACGGTGATCGCACTCCTTCTTGAGTGATATAAAGCTTCAAAATTTCAGGAGAAAGATTTTGAGGGTATCCAAAATCCATTATCTCTGTAAACATTTTAGAACCATCTGTCAGGTCTCACTGACATTAAGCCAATCATTAGACAAGAAGACTGAAAGTTCACATCAAGGAAACCCTTCTAAGGATGGAAATTTTACCATCCAAGAGCTCATAAATCAGAACAAAGTTATTCCTGATAGCATCTTCATCGAAAGCACCACCAAAATAAGATTTAAACAACGCAACTGCCTGGTGCACAAAGAAAATCCCTTTCAATCATTCATGCAGAAAGACATGATATAATTGCTTGAATCCTCATCCAAGATAGTAGAATATAAGAAGCTCCTACTCATGAAAAGAAAGGGGTACCTCAACAACAAACTTGAATGCACAAGCTACATTGGCATTGCTACTGACAACAATTACAATGTACACATTGCTGATTCTCATGTAGATGAATGAGCACCCACCAATCTGCCGAACAGGACATGTACCAAGCTCCTTTGTTTGCATTATATGCATTCTAAATGCATCCACCATATTTCCCCTGTGTTCTCAACAATTAATACAAATATGACAAATCATCATAAATAAAATCTTGCAAACAAGCACATCCAATTCCCAAAATAAAATACAAACAGCATAGGAAAAGCATTTCCAATTGGCATCAAACAATAAAGGTCCCGTAAGGCATAAAAACCATATCCACAATGCACTATGTTAAAAACAAAGGCCTAGTTTTTCTAGAAACCCAAAAAACAGATGACTACAAGCTATACTGTCAATATAGGGACTATGAGATAAAATACCTGGATTCCTACAAAAAGAATGATAATTCCAATAGTAGAACGAATATATCTGCATATACAACAATCATAAAGAAGGACCATGTTGCTAAAGGCCTTACTGAGGGATTTGGGGAACAGATATTGAAAGAATCATATAATCAAAAGTACTCAATTTCATGGGTAATGTTAGAGGCAATGATCTTCGTTTTTACATACCCAAATTAGTCAAAAGCACCTTAAAAGGGAACCTAGGCAACACTTAGACAAGAGAGGTCAAATCTTTCCTGGTTTGGCCTGCCAAGGAGAGGAACCTGCCACCTTGGCATCATGTCCTCAGAGGAGGAAAACGGTACAATGGCATGGCTTATGTCGTATTTTGTTGAATTTTCCCTAACTTTAGTAGGGAGATATGCTTTAGAAGGATTTACACACCATTCGACCGGCCCCAATCCAAGCCACCCCATTAAAGAAAATTAGTAGACCAGACCCATCTTTATTTCTAAACTAAAGAGATAAAATAATTAAAAGTAGTAAAGAAAAGTGAATTTCATAGATATTAAGCAAAGCAAAGAAACCAGGATAAGAAATTGTCAGTGGACTTAAAATATTTAAAGAATAGGAAACTGGAAAAGCGAAGCGGCTGTAACGGTACAAGGATTAGTAGAGCGCACCAAGAACTTGAAGATACAGGGCAAAAGCCACATCAAATCCAGATCCCGCGAAAAAGTAAGAGGTTGATTCCTAAGATATTGATGATGAATGAGGGCATGTGGAATAAGATGATCACATGAGAAATAATGGCTTAGTAGCAAGATATACTAGTTAAGTTGTTTTGTTTTAAAAAAGACTGGGCATCAGCAAGTGATGAAGAACAAGATGTAGTTGTCAAGTCATACAAACTCGCTCGAGCCTAGTGAATGCGTTACTAGTAGATGTGTAGAAAATTCCGTATGGAACTATTAGACAGGTCATTTCTTAGTTGTCAAATTGCTACTTATCATTTATTGTTTGCAATTAAGTTCATCACTTCACTTTGTGTACAAATTTGATCATACACCTGCAATAAGTAGTAGGTGCATTTGCAATTCGTAATTAGAGCAATTCAGCAGTAAGATTCGAACATGGGAAGTAGCATTTAAAAGCCAAGAGTCTAACACCTTAACACATTCTTAGTTCTTAGGCTTTTTATAATTCATATATCATACACTTGACTTAGTTATTTTTAATAGAACTAGAAAGTTTATACAAAATCACATTGTGGACAGTCTAAATTAGAATAATAAATGAATCAGACATGGCTACACTATTATATCAAGCAGAAACAAATCATGAAATATGCAAATAGCATGACAGATATATTGAACAAATTAGATTGATATGGTCTCGACTATATTACTGTGTATATTGTACATTTATACTCTGCTTTTCAATACTTTTTATTTCCAATTTTAAATTTTTTTTTGGTAAATTATCTCAAGTCTATAGTTTCAGGCACCCACTTGGTTCTTCCCACATTAAGCAGCCCCAAAAGGGACCAAAGTTGATGGCAACATGCACTATCTTGACACAAAATACAAACAGGACACTCCCTTATAGTCACCTAAAGATCCCCAAGGAGAAGGGATCACCTCATCTAGAGCCTTCACTTGATACTGGCCCAACACACTTTTGGTAATAAAGATAACAACCATCCTATTAGTCACTAGCTAATAATGATGCCAAATAGTGATGCACAGCAGCTATTACATGATATAACTCTCGTTTGGACGCTACACTGCCATATGTTGTAATGGAAAAAGTCCATACAGAGGGCCAACGTGAGTTGTTTGGTGCCCATTCTTCCTACCATTTTAAAGTGTTTGTGATGATCATAGTAACCAAAATCTAGAAAAAGTTCGTGGTTCCTCAAAATTTATACCATTTTGAGAAGTTGATAATGCATTTCAGTTAACAATGAAATAAAAAGAAAACTTGCTAATGTCATATTACCAGATTGCTAACAGGGAATTCGATATCATCATTTGCATCATCTACGATTCAGTCATTGTTTCTCAAACTTTGTACGGGTTCAATTTGCATCCAAATCCTAGTCAATTTTTCTAGGAAGGTAAACTGTATCTGAACTAACAATGTCAAGGCTACAAACAGGAGCCTTCCAATTAGGCCATGAAGTCAAGCCTAAAAAGTAAATTTTTGTCATCAATCAGTTTGCTACTTTCACTAAAGAACCGATTTATAAATCCTGAGTAAGCCCTAATTTTACTCTCTGAGAGAATTTTCTTAGTCAGAAATTATAGAAACCACAATCTTCATTTTGAGCTATCATGAAAAATGCATCCAGAGTAAGCCCTAACTTTGCTCTCTCTCTGAGAGAATTTACTGAGTCATGAATCATAGAAACCACAATCTTCATTTTGAGCTATCATGAAAACAATTCCCAAAGAGACATCTCCAGTTCATTGAATAAAGGGCTCCAAAATTCAATCCCCATGGTCTGATCAAGGTTTTATGCAATAAAACTCCCCGTTTTTTTTTTTTTGCACTGCCATAAATCTTCACTCTGATCATACTAACCTAACTACACAATTCCTCCAGTGATAATTAAGAAACGCAAGATCACCTCAAAACATTTCCACCTAAAGAGATATCAGAAACCGAGCAAAAAGTAAAACAAGCAAATAAATCACCCAACCATGTCACGACTCGAGTATGATAACAAAAAGGCAAAAAAATTTCAATCTGTCAATTCATATGGCTACATATAAATATCATGGTCTCTGAACATTAAGAAGCACTCAAATTAGAGGAAACCAGTTCAAAACAACAACGAAAAAATGGAACCGAGAGGAATAAATACGCAGAAAATTAAAAAAAATTACAAAGAGGAACATTACCCGACATCGTCTCGATAGAGTCGATTGATGAGGACGTCTCCCCTGAGATTTAAGAAATATATGGCTGACGCAGCAACTGGCATTTTGGATCGACAAACTCGCAGGCCAAAAGGGAGAGAGTTGGCCAAAATAAACCCTAGAACTTCATTGCTTCTAGAAAGACCCTCGCATTGATTTACTAATTAGTGAACCTCATAACCAAGAACCCAAGAACTTGAGATTACACTGAATCTATGGGGAGACGACCGCTCTCCATCCAGATAATGCAGGAAAAAGGGGAGAAAATAGAACACAAAAGGGTCCCTAAAAATTCTGAAACCCAATACCTTCAGAAATGCAACAAAAGGATCAAATTGAAGGATTCGGGACCAATAAGACAGAGGATCTAGAAACCCGCGAATTCAAGCATCAAAGAGCGTTTCCTGGACCAGAAATCCCACGTAGCAGAGAGAAATCAAACCCAAAAGCCTTAGAAAATAAGAAACCCGAAACCAGATCGAAAAGGGAGAAAAGGAGCAAATTCTCGAGAGATAAATGACTTTGGAGAAAAGCACAGGATATTCTAAATCCTAGAATTCAGATCTAGGGCACAAGTAACTGAAATCACAGAGATGATTACTTTTGAATCAATGGAAAAAACGGACAAATGGAAAAAAAAAATTGGCCAGACCAAGGGGGGAGGGTCAAGGATCTCATTTTATTATTCTCAGTTTCTTGCTTTTTAGAATTAATTTTTTATAAATTAATTTTGTTGTTTTTTTTAATTTTCGAGTCTTAGTCATCTCTCTAGGGCATTGTCCTAGGACGTGGGCCCACTTAAGGAATACTTTCAAACTTTCGGACATTTCGGTGAGTTTCGGCCATGAGGGTGAACTGAAGTTACGAAACTTATCAACCATGATTCCAAGAAACGATAATTAACCTTTCATTAATTACTCTCTGTGATTGAAGGGATATTTATCAAAAAAAACTAATTAGATATAAACTATTTCCAGGTTTTCCTAATTTTTTATTTAATTTTTTTACAATACCTTTTTTTAAAAAAAAAATTTAATTTCAAAATAGACATACGACGCGATGTAGAATAGCTGTATCATCAAAGGCTCCTCTCAACTAAAATAGAAAAAGCCAATCCTTACAAAAAGATAAAATACTAAATAATTCATTTCTTATGAGTAATTAGATAAATTTCTTAAGTGATTTGGATGAAAAAAAACATTGATCCATACCAGATCAAAATCGACCTACTCCGCTTATACTCATATTTTTTATTTTTAAATTATTATTATTATTATAAAAATTTTATTTCTTCAAAATGTATAGGATCGTATGAACTAGATCGAGATCAATAAAAATCCAGCAGCAGTAGATTAGTCTAAAAAATTTATCCAAAATTTAAATAACAAAACTGATCACAATACTCAAAAGAGATAGAGCTCTTTAGTGAGAGAAAGTGCGCGTTCGAGGAGAGAGAACGGAGAAGATGGCGTGTTGAAACTTGAAACTAAAAAAAGCCCTTTCCATAAAACGTCACCTTTGTTTGCACCTTCAAGGTAAAGAGAGCGCGCTCCTAAAAACTCCAACCTAGAGACAGATTAGTTAGAGAGAGAGAGAGATATCCCAAGGGAAAAATACCGATAGGGGAGAAAACAGAAAAAGGCCGACCCAGATAGAGAGAGAGAGAGAATTATTAGGACCCCCAACATCCCCTTTTATTGTTTTCCTCCATTGACCCATGTTCATTAGAAGCTCCATTAACCAAGATCTGGTTTTGAATTTGGGTTTTGGGTTTTGGGTTCAGTAAAGGACCGTCGTTTGACTTTTGGGTCCAATGAGGTTTCTCAGGAAGATTGCTAATTTTTTAGGTTTTGTGAGAGATGATCATAGCAACCAGGTGAATGATGGTGATGATGGTGAAGTGGGTTTTGATGGAAACGGTGATGGGGTTAGTGGGACTACGAAGGGATTCAGTGTTCAGGTACCAGTCATGGTGGAGAGGGCTTATCAAGGCCCGGTGATGTCACAGTGTAGCCTTGGTGAAGGTGGAGTTCAGGTATGAAATTCTTCTCAATTCTTGACCTTTTTACCCCATTGATTTTGCTGTGTTTCTGATGAATTTTTGTTCTCTCTAATTGGACTGTTTTTCATGTCTATGGGCCCATTTCATTGGACTGTTTTTCATGGTTATGGGCTCATTTCATTGGTTGGTCTTGTTGAAACTCTCTCTCTCTCTCTCTCTCTCTCTCTCTCTCTCTCTCTCTACGTACGTACGTACGTACGTACGTTCGTTACGTTACGTTACGTTACGTTACGTTACGTTAGTTAGGTTAGGTTAGGTTAGGTTAGTTAGTTAGTTAGTTACGTTACGTTACGTTACGTTACGTTACGTTACGTTACGTTTACGTTTACGTTT